CCCCCTAAAACGGCTCGTTCTAACACGCCCCCACATATCTACCTCACTATGTGGAAATATTTGCATAATGCGGCCCAAATGTGCACGCAAAGAAAGAAGGCGTGGTTTCAGGAACAGCAGTAGTGTTGATGCAGCCATGTCAGTGCGAAAGACAGATTTCAGCTGTCTTAACCGTGGCTTGTGTACTGCATCATCACTGTGTCTGTCACGCGACTCTTTTCCCGTTTCGGGCTCTGTCTTTACATTTATTTTGAAAGATGAAGCTCGCGTTTATGGTAAGGGGCGTTACATTTCCGACGTATGCTTGTGGTGTTTGGCCAATCACAATGCACTGGATCAGCTGGCTAATCAGAGCAGACTGCGCTTGTCAAAGGAGGGGACTTTGTTGAAAACGACGCGCTTGAGAGAGGCGGGGCATAGAGGACCTACAATAATGTACAGTATTTGAAAAATAATGTGTTTTTTGAACATTAAAGCATGGCAACATATTCTGTTACACCAAATACACAAAATAATGATCTTTAAAATAGCATCATATGACCCCTTTAAATTATTATTTTGTCTCAAGGTAATTATGTAATTATCTTATGTATCTTCTAAAGGGCAGTACTAAATAAAAAAAGATGATAACAATTTAACTGATAAAATGTTTACAATTTTGGGAAAAAATGTAGTCAGTCAACAAAAGAGCGCACTGTAACCGGAGAAATGTCATTTTTTTATTGCATATAGTAGGCAGAGTTTCAAATCTCGGCTCCCCCCAAAACAATTAAATTTCCTCCCAATGGCTCTTTTTAAAGGGATGACTTCACACTAGCCTTGGCAGGAGGAATTCTTATTTGTTCTGGGCGCATTGAGCTCAAACACGTTGGCGGCGATCTGATGCAGCTGAGCATTCTCTGTGTTCAACTGTACCGGCTGTTTAGGAAGGAGGTGTTCAGAAACGGTCCCCACGGCCCTTTGTTCTCCTGTCAATCTGACATTCATTTAAATGGCTATGTGTGCTTGCTGAACTCTTCACCCGTTTGACGACATCGGGCTGCGAGGAGCTGAGCACAGCACGCTGTACCTTCTGCCTTCCTCTCATTCATGACGCTGTTGAGCTGTTGTTTCTGCTGATTAGTAGGGTTAAAAAGGTCCCATAAATCTCACTGGCCTGTATTAGGTTGGTGGAGAGGCCAAAATGTTCAGAAGGAACTAATGGTGTTATAAATTTAATAGAGAATGCATAAAGAAAATTATTTACAAATCTCGGCACAGAACACATTCAGCATCAACAAATGTTCTGTCTTTTGTTTCCTCCTCTTTATATTGAGCACACCACACCCAAAACCTGAATCTTTAAATTGTAGCATGTCATCAGAGTTCATGTTTAATATTTTAAATATATTTTGTTATTATCAATTACAGTTAGTTGGCCAATCTTTGTTACACAACATTCATAATGACATCCATAATGTAAAAGTGTATGCAGCTGTGTCCAAAAAATAAATAAATAATATTATATGATCAGCTTTGATTAGTGAGCTAGAAATTTTAAATATTTCTTCATTTTATGTCATAACTTTCCTTTGTTTTAACTTTAAGTACAGGTTTAATAAAAAAAAGAAAGAAAAAGGAGTTGATTTTTAAGCCTATTTATTTATTCAAGACAGTCAGACCAACATATTTAAAAAAAACTGTTAAAGGTCATTAAAACCTGTTCAAACAAGTAATTGTTGAAACACAATTATGTGTAAAGAATATTATATACATCACAGCACATGTGGAATATTCACAGAAAATTTGTATTTAATATTAATTGTGTGCTTGTAGGAAAGACACAGTCTCACATTAGGTCCGCACCACTCTAAATAACAGAATCAGACCTCAGAAGTACATCATGTCATGCAAGTTCACAGCCCATGATACTTAAATATAACTATACAATGAACTAAACATTAGAGTGCATGTACATTTACAGTGATCCACAGTGACAACATTATTTACTAAAGTGATCACAGGCTCAAAATCAGGAAACTCCCACACACAAGACACATTTAAAAACTCAGCGTCCGGCCTTGAGATTCAGATCATTCCCTTCTCCACACCCAGCCTGCGGAAAAGAGTGAAAACAATAAAAAAAGACATTCTGAATGACTCCGCCTGAAATGTGTAATTAACACAAGTCCTCCAAACAAAGAATGAGCTCTTAAAAATCGAAACCTTAAAGGGTTTTTAATAGTACTTTAGCAAAACATTTAATATTTTCACATTATATGCCACTTTTTGACTTGTAATATAGCACTTATCACAAAGTATTGCATGTTTTGTTTCAGATGTTAATGATCAGTCATATGGCCCTCTGATTGAGCTCTGGAGGTCATGGGCAAATTTTAAAAGGCAATTTTGTGCCCTTGAAGTGGGACAAAACTATGGGAAGTTTGTTCTAAATAATTGAGGTAGTAAAGTATACATACAATGGTCACTTGATGGAAATAATTTTACCATATATCATCACATGATCCTGAAAGCTTAGAAAAAAGGTACAAAAGCTGTCACTGGGGTGTTACCCTTACACTTAGGTACTAATATGTACACTTTAGGGGTAAAAAAACAAAAAAACAGTACAAAGGTGTACCTTTTTAAAGGGTACCGCCCCAGTGACAGCTTTTGTACCTTTTTTCTGAGTGTGGGTTTGTAGTCAATTGTGTTGTCAATTGTTCCCTCATACACTAAAATACTATTTCCTATTCCCTATGTATTTACATACTTTCATGTGGGTTTGACAAAATGCCACACAGAGTGCTCAAGGCAAGATTGATTTGCCACAACCTTCTCAATAGCTCAGGGGTATCCAGTCCTGCTTCTGGAGGGCCACCTTTCAGCAAGGTTAATGAATCACACCTGAACCTGCTAAACGAGGTCTTCAGAATCACTAGAAACTTTCAGGCAGGGGAGTTACAGCTAAAATCTGCAGGGACCTCCAGAATCAGGTTTGGACGCACCTGCAAGAGCTGAGCATTTTAATTTACCTGCAACGTTGTCACATTCCGATTCAAAATTAAAGTGACAGTGATGTATGTCTTTGTGAAGGACAGGTGTGTCCAAT